CTATGCACTCGCTCTCTCTCCTGCTCCTCCGCCTGTCTCCCCCTGTTTCTCTCACTCTCTCCCTCCCTCTCTCTGTCTCACACACGCACAGAGCCTCTGCTGGCCTCTTCCCACAAAGCTCTCAGCCTCCTACTCCCTAGAACCATGGAAAAGTTGGCAAAAGTGACAGAAAAAGGACATACCTTAACACTCAAAGGAGCCCTCGTCCTGCTGCTCTCCTGCCCTGGTTTTCCTGAGGGTCAGGCTCGCAGCACTTAGCACAGGTGTTTGCCCATAATGGGGACTTACCAAATGTGCCGATTCTGGCACAGTCTGCAACCCCTGCTCCCTGCCCCCTCCCCGTATGAGGGTCCTGGTTCTCAGGAAGCTTCAGGGCTGATGCAGTCCCCTTGTATCTCCTGAGCTTCGCCCAGCGCCTGGCACTGAGGGAGCAAGGCCAGTGTGACAAGGTGTACAGATAAGACGTATGGGGGCACAGCACACCCACATGCAATAAAGCCCCTGCATTTTCCACCATGCTCCATTCTCAGCAAACAGAGGTGCCCCCAGGGGTAGTATCTGTAGGTTCCCTCTGGTCCTCCTCCACCTTCTGCACTACCTATGCCTGTCTCAGCCTTTTCTAGCCATGTCCTCATGCATCTCTCCCAACCATCAACGTCTGGCTGGCAACTATTTAAAATGAAAGGGAGAAAATTAGAATAGAATAGAATAGAATAGAATAGAATAGAATAGAATAGAAAAATAAAATTAAGTAAAATAAAATAAAATGGAGAGTGTATTAGAAAAAGCGGTGTCTGGCTTTGACCTGAACTTAAGTGACTAGGGAAGAAAGGCCCACCGGAAAGAATGGGAAGGAACATGAGAGAACCTTCTGGATGAAGGATGTTTTGTATATCTTTTTATATTAAATATTTTATTTATTTATTTTAGAGAGGGAGAGAGAAAGTGAGCACGCGAGCAGTGGGGGCGGGGCGGGGGAGGTGGTGAGAGGGAGAGAGAAAGAGAGAAGCAGGCTCCTACCTGAGCATGGAGCCTGATGCTATGTGATGTGGGGCTTGATCCCATGACCCTGAGATCACGATCTGAGCCGAAATCAAGAGTCAGCTGCTTAACTGACTGAGCCAGCCTGGAGTCCCAGATATTTTGTAGATATTGGTGGGAGTGTGGATTACCTGGGCCTTCCAAATTGTTCAAAGTGTACACTTAAGACCTGCTTATCTCACTTTCTCTATATTAAGCATTATATTCTGATTTACAGCATCTTAGAAGATCCAGGGACCTTCTCTTCTTCATTTAGCCATGGGGGCCAATGATTCTACTTAGTCCTTAACTCTGGGAAGCAACATCAGGGTGGGCAGGAAGTCTCGACATAGGGTGCTCAGGAGCTATATCCTCCCCCGGCGGGGGGTGGGGGGTGAGATTTATCAGACACATTTGCATAGACCCCAGCACCAGGAGGCTCAAACTTTCAGAAACCACCACCTTGGCCAGGGGGTGTGCCTTGGATTTTTACAACATTATTTATCATCTGATTTTATCCACTTGCCACTGGCACAGAGAGGTATTGTGTTTCCTCTGTTTCCTCTTTATAAACGAAGATGCCAAGTTTCTGATATACAGAGTTACGATCCTCCTAAGTTGTGGATTCCATATTTGCAAATTCACCGTACTTGCTAACATTTATTTAAAATCCCCAACTGGAGGGGCACCTGGTGGCTCAGTGGTTGAGCGTCTGCCTTCAGCTCAGAGTGTGATCCTGGGGTCCTGGGATTGAGTCTCACATCCAGCTGCCCACAGGGAGCCTGCTTCTCCCTCTGCCTGTGTCTCTGCCTCTCTCTCTGGGTCTCTCATGAATAAATAAATAAAATCTTAAAAAAAATAAAATGGAATCCCCAACTGGATACTTATGGCCCTTTTGTGGTCATTTCTGGACATGAGCAGAGTGGAGAAAGATGTGAGTGGCCACATCCACACATCCCTATCAGAGGTTGAACGAGGTTGAGGATACTCTGCTTTCTTGTTTCAGTTCACACTTTAAACAAAGGTCCTTTCCATGGCCTATTGAGTGCCTTGTTTTTTGCATTTTCATGCATTTTGTTGGTGATGACACTGTTTAAAATGCCCCCCAGGTATTGTGCTGAAGTGCTGTCTAGTGTTCTTAAGCATGAGAAGAATATGTTGTGCCTTACGGAGAAAATACATGTGCTAGGTCAACTTTGTTCAGGCACGAGTTCTAGTGCTGTTGGCCTTGAGTTCAATGTTTAAAAAGAAACCAATTTATATTAAATAAGGTGTCTTTAAACAGAGACACACGTAAGACACAGCTATGTATTAAGTTGTTGACAGACATGCTATGACCAGAGGCTCGTAGGAAGCCACCCTGGAACCATCCTAGGAGTGGTGGTTCTGTATTCTCAGATTCGGTGTTTGTGGTGACTTACGGAACAGAGTGACCTTGAGTAGTGGGAATTGCCTGTACTTGTCCAAACCCCATAGCACATTTACAAAGAGTGAGAAGTAGATTCCAGTGATTTCCATCCCAGCCATCCTGCTAGGTCCCTCGCGGCTCTCCCACGCCTGTTCCCGCTGTGGCATCTTGGGGAAGGAAGAGCTGCCAGCAGCAGTAGCTCAGTGCTGAGCAACTCGATAAGGGCTGTACCAACATGACACGCGCGAAGAAGACAGGCAAACGCCAACGTGAGATGTGATGCCAGGTTAACAGAGGTGAGGAGACTCCAGCAGGAGCATCTACCACCCAGAGGAAGGCAGTTTGAGGCTGGGATCCCGCGGGAAGGGAAGGATGAAGGTTGCAGCTTCAACAGAGCCATCTAGACAATTGGTGGGGGTGACCAAAGTCAAGAGAGGAGGGCACCCACACCCAGGAGCTCTTGGTCCTTCCCCGACTGTGTGGTGATTCCTGATTTCATTCTCTGACAACGCGACGAGGCAGCAAGACAGGCATCACTGTCTCCAATTCACAGATGAATTGGGCTGCCCCAGATTTACAGCTGGGCCATGTAAAATTTGGACTTGGTGGGAGATGCCCGAAGTGGGTGCCCCTGGTTGTTTTCTTTAGGCCACACTGAGGCAGAGTGCTGGCTTCTCACTGCAGGCTGATGGGCTCCTTCACCAGCTACCTAGACTTCTCTTTGGCCCCAATCCACCCCTATTTTCAGGTATTATGTCCCAGTCCACTTGATAGGAGGCAGGTATCATGTTACTGAAGGAGAAACTGAGGCCACACAGGAAATAATTCTGGGTCCCCCCTTCCTTTTTTCTGTTTAACTCAGCTCTAGGGACAGGATGTAGGGTTACTCACAGCTCACCTGCTTCCTTTGCAGAGCCTAGGGGGTCCTTCCTCCACACAGGGTTTAGTGCCATGTGGGTCAGTGTCACCAGGCAGGACCAAGGCTGGCATGGAGACCTGTCTCTGGGTGCCACAGACATGATATGTCCGAGAGGGGCCAGCTTTCCTGATTGCCCTTGACGGACACTAAGTGTGGGTACCCCACGCCAGGATCTGCTGAGCTACCCTTGGCTAAGGCAAAAGCCAGCTGGCCTAGGCCCCCGAGGAAGCAAGGGGTCTGGAGCATGGCCCCTTCCTGAGAGGCCCCAGGGGAAGAGGAAAAAGGAAATGACTTCCCTTCTACCTTTCAAAGTACCACCCAGGCAACTCCTCTGCACCCATCAGAGCTGCTTTGAATTCTGAACCCAGTCTCTCCCATGCTGTGAGGCTGGCTGCTCTTGGGCTCTACTGCTCCATGTCACCATACAGATGTTCGCATACATTCCCATCCCCCTAGTTTCCAGTCATCCTCCCTTATGTGAGTCAACGGGTCTCAATTTTTCCCACCATAACACACCTGAGGGATTTCAAAGAGCTCAAGGACTCATGATGCATGAGCTTGTCCCCAGGGACGGGAGGGTGACTGTGCCCTTGGGAGAGGATGCACTAGAATTTAAGAGGACATTTCTCACTTTCAGAAGCATCCCTGGTATGGGGGCAAGGTCCTGCCCCCACCTTCTCAAACTTGAGAATGACTGGAAGATGTCCTTGGTCACATCCAGTTCAGGCTCTTAGCAGGGAGACTAAAGAAAGCCTTCTCCCTAATGTGCAACATGGTGTCTGACTGGAAGCATCTCAGTTTCAAGTGTTGACCAGAAGCCTTGGGTTCTAGCAACAATAGTTTAACTGGCAGCAAATTCCCTCTGCGTGGGGCCCAGCTATTGTTGGCTTCTCCAGTCAGCAATGCCAAGGGTCTTTGGATCCCCAACGAAGAGCACATGTCTAGGTGGGTTGTCTGTACCCTGCACCGCAGCCCTCAGGTCACTTCTCTGATTTATCTCCACCGTATGCCATTTGCTTCTTCCCTCTTCTCTAGAATACAGTGGAACCCGCGCAGAGAGGTGCAGAGGGAGATTGCCCAGCCCTTGAGACAGGGACTTTGGATCTACTGAGCCCAGGCGCAGGGTCCTCTGACAGCCAGAGGGGGGTCCTTGGGGACTGCACGCTCGAAATGTACACCTCAAATACCAGAAGATTCTGGGGAGATATTGAAGAAGGTCTTATGTGGATGTCATATCACTAAATGGAGAGTCCACATCTCGCACATGATCTAGTGGTCCACGTGAGACTTGACAACAAAGGCCAGTGCCTTTTCCTGGTGTTCAGTCCTAGTGCCTTACTCTTCAGCCAAGTCAGAGTCAGGAATGTTTGGGATAATCTCCCTCCTGCCCTCCAGGGTGTAATTACCCATGTGATTCCAAGTCCCAATTCATCATCATTCCCAGGCTGACATTTCCACATATCTCTTATGGGAATCTGGCAATTTAACGTGAACTCGGAACCAAAGAAGGGGATAAGATTGGCAACTCGTACAAAGAAGGAAGCATAAGAAAAGGCAGGGAGAGAAGAGAGATCAGAGGGAAGGAAAGTGGTGACAGAGGAGGGAATTAGGGAGGAAGTGCGAGGCAGGAGGAAGCTACCCAGCAGTACTCACGTGTTGTGGAGCACACACCAGCCGCAGTGGGGATCGCCCGAGCCCAGGCACTCGCTGCAGCTCCGATACTGACCGCAGGACTCCACAGGGACTCTGGTGAGCTGGGACAGAAAGACAAGAGAGGGGTGATCAGGATTTTGCACAACACCCTGTAGTTCCCCAGGAAGAGATGCTATTCCGTCAGATAAATCACCTGAATCAGTGTAGGAACGTGAAGAGGCCCAGAGCTCCAGGCTGGAAGAGACCTTGAGGGATCATATTGGAGCAGGTGGCCACCTGAGCATCCGGGGGAGACACCACCTGTTACCTTCTTAGCAGTCTCCCTGTATAACCTCCTTACAGCTCATATTAAATTGTTATAGAAGATATTTATACAGTGTGCGTTGACGCTTTCCCACCATCACAACCCCCCAATACTCTACAAACATCCAATCCATCACCTGCTTACTTCATAAAAATGGAATGAACCCAAATATTTATTTTCTCCATTCTTGTTTTCCTCTCCTTCCTCTCTTTCTTTCTTCCTCTCTTTCTTTCTTTCTTTCTTTCTTTCTTTCTTTCTTTCTTTCTTTCTCTTTCTTTCTTTCTTTCTCTTTCTTTCTTTCTTTCTTTCTTTCTTTTTTCTTTCTTTTTTTCTTTCTTTCTTTTTCTTTCTTTCTTCTTTTTATTTCTTTTCTTTCTCTATAAGGTGTACTGTCTTCTTCTGGGTTCATCTCTTTTACTCTTTTTTGTTTCATTGGTATGATCTGTGTGGTTCCCGAGAGCATGTAAGTAAGCCAAGTCCAAGACCCTTCTCTTTCTCATTCTCCACACTTTTGAACTCATTTGGTAGCTGTTAACCTACCCGCTCTCTTTCTCATGCTGTTGGCCAAATGGCTCTCAAGGTTTTTCACTCTGGTGCTTTCCTAGAACAGCTGTTGCTAGCTACTTCTCCTCCTGCCCACACCCTTTTCATGACTAGAGGCTCCCTCTCCCACCCCAAAGCCCTGTACTCGCTTTCGCCAGCCGCTTGTTCATGTAAAATGTTCCATGTGACATTTCTGCTTAGCCCAAGTGCTTCCATCGCCTGCATGCTCTGCAAGATCTTTTGCATTTCTTTGTTCCCCAACATAGCTTCGTGCCCGGATGTCTTTTTACATGACTTCTCAGGGCCCAGTACATAAGAGATACTTAATCACGATACCCAGGATCAAATGGAATTTTAATTTTCTTTCAATAGCCTTGGTCTTTATTGTCTATTTCGCCAGTTTCATCTTTATGAAAAGTTTTTTTTTGTTGTTGTTTTTTGAATCATCCTTTTTCTATTTGGGACACTGTTTTATCTCAGCAGAAGACTTCTTACCTAATCTTTCAGCTTGCACTAAGAGAATTTGATGTGGCCGTCCTTTTTAATTTTTTGTCGTCAGACAACAGGCGCCGAGAAGCACAGATCACACCGACCTGGCTGAGCCTCTGTGCTTCCTGAGCAAATGCACAGGCTGTGTCCCCGCCACCCTCCCACGTACCCCCACCCCTCCTGCTGCTGCAGGGGGCATCTGCCTCTGAAAAATTATGTACACTTGGCAGGGGCTATTTGTAACTCATGCACAGGCGAACTGGCACCAGGGTCTGCTCAATTAGTCTCGAAACCATCTTTTGGAATTAATTAATAATTAATTCTAAACCCCATATGATCTCTTTTCCCTTTCTACCTTCATTTTCTTATTCCCTTTACATATCTTTTGGTTTGGGTTTTGTTTCCTCAAGTGCACACGGAGCCTTCTTAATGACTACGCTGCAATGTTCCTTCTTCCCAGCTACCTGTTGGCCTCTCGCTCCCATCTTAGAGTTTTGTCCTTGGCCTCTGTGACCCTCTCTCCACATTCTTGGATGTCTTTTTGCACTTGTGGGATTTCATGTTTCCTGTTAATACTGCTCTTGTAATCTAATCTGCATGGGCTATGCCTCAGCTCTGCCTACATGTGACTTTCCCATTTTTGCAATTAATTCTGACAATCCGTTGTGTACAAATTACCCTGCTGGCTCTATGCACAGCCAGGAACTTACCCTATTCCTACTGCCTCTTTAATTTCTCTTCCTACCCCCTAAGTGGGCACAGACATGCTATGCTGGTCATGTAAGTATATAAACCCTGGTTCCCAGCCCAAAATACCTGGGCTCCCAGGAATTCGTGAGGGGTAATAAGGTCCACAAGCTATTTTCAATATTTCCAAAAGCCTAATGGAAATTGGATGGTGGCTGTTTTCTTTCTTATATGCATACTTGGTGATGTATGTCCCATATTAAAAATAGGAAATATATTATTACTTAATAAATGCAGTTTATTTAGCAGGCAAAAATCTTTGAAAACATGATGCCTAGAGGGGAGAAAAAGTAATAAAAGGGACCATAGATGGTGGAAGTCGGTAACACAAGTACATAATAATGTTTTCATATGTTCCAGCTGCTTGTCTAGCACTCCATATTTTGCACGAGCTTGAGGAGAAAATCATGGCTTGTTCAATCAAAAGCATTTTCTTGGTCTAAACTTAATTAATATCCTCCCAGTCCCAGTTTCTCCCATTGACATGTTCTATAATGTGTCTTGGATGGATGTGCCATGGGGCTCTGGGGTGTGCCCGCTGCTTGGCGAACCTGATGTTCAAAAGGCTTTGCATTCAGATTTCTAAAAATATCTTGCAACTGGTGATTAAACAGTGCCAATACCCAGAATCATAAAAATCTTTCCTCTCCCGATTTTAAGTGAGTGTGATTTTAGTTTGGTTGGAAGGAGTATAAGAGTACTGGACCCCGCAGAGCTGGGTTCCAATCCTGGCTCCATCGTTTACCATGTTTACCAGCGATGATGTTCTGAGTCTCATTTTCCCTCGACTTTAAACACAGGGACAAAATCCCCCTGCCCGCCCCCGTTCACGGAGCTCCCCACAGCACAGGTGATCTGGTACGTGTGAAGCTGCTTTGGAAACGCACGAGCACATTGCAAGCAACGGTTATTACTGTCATCTTTGCCGTTCATCGTCGCACGGGCACGTTACCTCTCCGCCACATCACAGGATCCTGCTCCGGCAGCCTGCCCGCCCCACGGAACTCCACCAGGAGTGTAACAGGCCGGGAGGAACTTTTCTTCTTTAGCACCTTGATCATACCGTTTCCTCCTTGAACTGCGATGTCTGCCCCTAAAACCAGTCATTGCTTCATCTCTGAGATGAAACTCTGGGGTAGCCCAGCTTCCTGGATTTATTCAGCGCTTTTACCAGGTACTCTAACAGGCCTGTCTTTTTCTCTGTTTTTTCATCTAGATGGATCCCTGTGGGACAGGAGCAGAAGTCCTTCCTAGGCAGTTATTATGAGACCCAGCTTTCCCTCAACCTTTTCTTATAGCATCTTTCTATATACGTGCAGTCATTTTTTTTTATTATTACTCTTCTGAGCTTGATCTAGTTTTTTTTCCCCCATTCTTTTTAAAGGGTGGATGCTAAAACTGAGGAGCCCACAGGACTCTGACAGACCAAGTAAAAAGGTTACCATTAACTGAGAGGCAAGTGCCACCCCCCTTATCTCTTTAGGACTTTCTTGAAGTCCCATTTTCAGGCAGTATTCCCCAGAATGGCCAATCCCTCTGGGACTCTACATCTCCCAATCTATAGCACTGCTTTGCCTCACTCCCCCACCCATGGATAATCTTGGAAAGCATAAGAAATTTTTCTGACATTTTAAGCCACTCCCAGAAACCAGACTGACTCCATCACTTATCTTGGTACAATTGTCTGCCCTAACAGCTCTGGGTACCATCCATAGTTTGCTAGTAAGCTGCGCAGATGCCCAGGTAGCTTCTGAGCAACCATGGCACTGTGATCCCTTTCCCCCAAACCTCCAGATTCTCCATCCACACCTTATACCACACAAAGCTGCCTCTCCCTTCCCCCATCACCAGTTCCTTCTCTGACCCTGGAACACAAACCACTCCAGATGCAGAGCCACACGATTAATTAAAACCACCCCACGCTGATTAAAGTCTTAAGCTACAGTGCCAGGCATGCTAATTAACTGCGTGAGGGAATTCAGACCACAGGAAGAGGTGAGAAAAGGAAGTCATGGAGGGGGCTTCTGCTTGGAGAACGAATCAGATGGCGATGTGACCCAAGCCATCCTAGTGATGGTTGGCCTCAGACACCACAAAAGATTGAAGTTTGTCCCCTGGCCACTGGACTCCAGGAGATGTGTTGATTGATGTGTCTGCAACAGCTCCCTCACTGCATCTAAAGACAGAAGTCCCACCACCTCTCAGAACCTCTGTGTGTGCCTATGCAGAGCTGGGAGGGAAGCGAGGTTCCTTGGGTGGATGGGTTTGGACATGGCTGCAGAGTTGTCTCAGCACATTCCACTGGATTTGCTGTCCTATTGGACAGCGTCATAGTTCCTCAAAAACATAGAGTTATCATATGATCTAGTCATTCCCCTTCCAGGTACACACCCCCCCCCCAAAAAAAAAAAAACTGGAAGCAGTGGCTCGAACAGATATTTATAGATCAATATTTGGACTAACACTATTCACAACAGCCAAAAGGTGGAAAGTGGCCCAAAGCAACCCAAACCCAAAGCAAACAAACAACAAATGGATGGACATGCAGAATGTGGTATGGACAGTCATCTCTCTCCTCCATCCCTCATCTGCGGTTTTGCTTTCTCTGGTTTCAGTTACTGCAGTCCAGAGGCAGATGATCCACATTTTCTGACATGTGATCAGAAGTCAACAGCAGCCTCACACTAGGTCACAGCGCCTACGTCATTCACCCCACATCCTCTCATCACGTAGGCATCTTATCGTCTCATATCATCACAACAAGAAGTACGGTAAATGAGATATTTTGAGAGGGAGACAGACCATATTCACATAACTTTTATTACAGTATATTATTATGGTTGTCCTATTTTATTATTAGTTATGGTTGTTAATCTCTTACTGTGCCTAATTACAAAGTTTATCACAGCTTTGTATCTATACGTAGGAAAAAGCATAGTCTATGCAGGGTTTGGTATTATCCATGGTTTCACATCTCCACCAAGGGGGCTCGGAATGTATCTCCTGTGGATAAGGAGG